ACGTAGGTTTCCTACGGTGGGTGTGAGTAGAGTGGGAGGCTGCCCACCCCCAAAACCCCCCACGAAGGGGGGTAGGGAGGGGGAATTTTGGGGAGTTGAAGCCCACACATCTTCAAGTTGCCACGGTTGAGGAACCCTGGTATACAAAATCCTGCCTTTTCCAGATCAGTATGGAAGAGTATCAGCTGCAGGAAATAGTTTGAAATCTACCCATTTGCCAATACATTTCTCCCTGTCTGTTTCTCAGCTCTATAGCTCAGTCTGGATTTTCTGGTATTATTGGCCAATTCATCATCTTGCAGAATTATAGAGTGAGTTTTAAAGCGGCAACTGAAATGGTAAGGTGCACAATGCTCTTGTCGTGTTTTCTTTTGGGGAGGACATGTTGATGTGCAGTTTGATGCTCCAGTGATATGACATGGAAATATTGTCCTCAACAGCATTTTTTAATGCCTACGGTGAAGATAGGAAACAGGGTTTCAGGATGGCTTGACTGGAACATATTGGAACTAAGAGGAGGACAGATAAGGAGTGGATTTGCACGTTTTACTAACTCAAAGTTTAACTAGAGGGTTTTTTTTCTTAAATAAGCCACAGTGATTGGGTTTGTGAAACGTGCGAAGCCATAACTTCCTGCACTGAGGACAACACTTAGCATTGGAGTGGCATGTCGTTTACATTTAAAAAGCATTAAATAATCATGATTACTCTGCAATCGTGTGTTAAATAACCTCTCCCTTTCTATCACTTTACAAATTAAAATTTGGTATCAACTTTAGGAAATCTCTGGAGGGACCTATAGTTATGGTGACCATATTTTCTTGGGAAAAAAGGAAGGGTAAATCTGAAAGAGGTTCATAAGGATAAAAAAAGGTTAATTGTTTATGTTTATAACTTTGCTTTACAAAGGAAAATTCAAGAGCAAAACCAAAAAAAAAAAATACTGTACAGAAACACATATTCTAATAAAAACATCTACAATCAAACAGCATCTGTACATTTATTTGAAAAAGACCATTCAATTTCCATATTTTTCACATGAATGTGAAAGACTGTGCCTTAAGTGGTATCATTTGTACAGTAAAAGTTAAATGACCAAAATAAAGGACAAAGGTGAGTTTTTGAAAAATAAATAAATCTAAAGGACACCTTTCTGAAATAAAAGAAAGGACATGTGGTCACTGTACCTATAGTGGTGCTTTAACGTTTGTGAACTCCTTTGACTTTTCAATATTTCTGCAATCAATATGACCTAAAACGTGGTCTGTTCTCCACACAAGTCCTAAAACTAGATAAGGAGAACCCGATTCAACAAATGAGTCAAAAACATTGTATTTGGTCATCCCACTTGAGATTAGCTTGGCCCCAACATTGCTGGCCTTTAGCAGAGCTCTCTGTGCCTGGGACCCCGGGTATGGGACGGAGCCCACTTCCCGGTTGTGTTGAGGGTGTTTTTATAATTCTCCAGCTGCTCTGGCTTTTACTTAGAGTGACCATACATCCTCTATTCCTGCAAAGGTCGTAAATGCGAGGATCGGTCACAAAGTTCCTTTTTCATCACCTTTGTCACTGCAAATGGTCGCTAAATGAGGCAGTCGCTAAATGAGGACTACCCATATGAAGAAATAGGAAGAAACTCCCCCCCATGCCACAATGTTAACAGTATAATGAAGATGATAGCCTGTAAAATATCTCCGATAAAGAAACTCCCAAATTTGAAGAAATTGCGGGGGGGGGGGGGGGGTTT